CCGCCAGAAAGAGCAGAATTCTTTTCGATGTATAGAAAAGAAGATTCTTGGAAACATTTCCCACAGGAATAAATCTGACATCTCATCAGTTTGAAGATATTTTCTTTTCATCACGCTCTCCGTTCTTTATTGGTTTGCATAAATTGACAGTGTGTGAACTGCATTTAACACAGTGCAAGAGGAGTCGCAGGCGTGTCAACACCTGCAGCTCTGCTGCTGGCAGGCTCTGTCAGGTTGGTTTATTATATGCTATGTTTGCCTGAGGTGTGAGGGTGAGCGCTCCTCGATCCACATTGTTGGCACAACAAATCAAAAGAAAACCATAGCCTCTGCAAAAGTACATGATTGCACCAATAAATACTTCTGAGGTCTTTCCAATTCAATCAGCTTGGTGTTTTTTTTTTGTTGCACTCCTCCCCACTCGGCTCTGTCTGTGTGTGGTACAACATTTGGACAAAACATTACTGCATTCATTTTTATTGCTAAACAGACAGAGGAGGGTATAGCCTCTCTTATTATTTTTACACAGTGTGCCAATTTGTGCGATTGCCATGGGACACACAGGAAGGTTGTTTTACAGCAGGAAGCAGGAGAGAGAAAGATTCTAGAGTCGGGCCGAGGCGGAAGAAAAGGAAATCAAAACTTTTAAATGAGCACAGTCCCTCCCCGGTGGCAACGTGTCTATTGCAAAAGGAAGTTAAAGGGTCATGATACAGAGACGCTGCAAAACCACTGATGTGACACAAAGGATGAATGCATTAATGCTTAAAATACCACCTGAGGCCTTTTTACTTATTATCTAGAGGACATGCATCAGTTTGGTTCAGCAAAATCATCTCAGTCCTTTGTCACGGTAGATACAGAATAAGGCTAATTAGGATGAGTGGATTTCAGTCAAGTATTTTGGGCTTTGGTTTTATTCTTGATTTATTAAAGAATGGAAAATAAGGCAGCTTTGATGTTCTACAGCAGCGATTTCCTTATTTTAAGCTAAACTATAATTTGTGTGAAATCATCTTTGACATTTTGACAAGTACAGGTCTGCGCTGAATAAAGCTGCTTATTATTATGCTCATGTCATGAAGTGAGCAGCTTGTTTGATTGTTGTGTTTGTGTGACTAAAAGACGGAATATGAAAGACATGAAAGATCCCCAAAAGTGAAGCCAAAGTGTGAAGTTAAAGTTCGTATCCAGGATATTTTGGCTTCACTTGTGGATAGCAGGAGGAAGTAGAGAAGTGTCGTCCATCTTTATACACAGTCTGTGGTGTGACCCAGTGTTCAGCATCAAATAACAGAACATGCTACTTTAACATTTTGTGCACTTCTTTCTTATAGAATCATCATCCATCCATCTTCTTACCTTCTTAGTGTCTCCACGTGAACTGTAGCACCTCAGAGCCCCCTAGAGGACGTGGTTAGAGCTCACTGCGTTCTGGGCTCCTGCCATCAGGCCCGGCTGTGGCCCCCATCCAGCGTACCCTCTGCCCTCGTCTGTCTCCGGGACTCAGCGCTGTTGAGAGACGAGCAGAGAAAAGTGTCTCGGCCGGCTCATAAACCCACTGTAAACACATTCTTTGAGAGGCTGATACAGGAAGAGAAAGTTAATGTGTTATTCCGGCTCACCAGATCCTCACATACTGAACATTCCAAAATAAAAATAAAACAGACCTGCATAATGTAGATTATTGTCTGTGGTAACATGTAACGGTATGTATGTGTGAGTAAAAAGCTAATTGTGAGTATAATGTGCGTGAATTATTATTTTTAATTGTTTAAAAAAATGAACCTACAAACTTAAATTTGTTGAATCAAAAGAAACAGGCAGGATAGGTTAATAATAACGCTGTAAATTCAGTCAGCAGTCCTTTACATGTTAGTGTTGACAGGTTTGTTGAGGGTTAAACAGACTCATATATAGCGAGACACTCAAAGTTTAGAAATTATTTAGAGACCAATGGAAACCAGGTCATTTAGGAACGTGTATTTTGTACATGAAGCCACATGTAAACACCAGAGATGGTGTCAACACTACACAACACATTCTGTTAAATTATCCAATGTGGTACCACCGTCTATTTTTGTGACACAAGCCTTTATTTGGGCTGGAGAACCACTCACCGCAAACCAGGAGCTATAATTTTGTTTTGTCATTTTGTCCGACTGTTGTGTCACAGTGCTTGAGTGTGCTCAAGTGTTTTCATGTTAGCGGCCGACGTGTTATGTTACATCTTCCTCAGTGTCAGTCACCTGAAACCCACATGAGTGAAGTGTCCAAACGCTGAAAAAGATCTGCCAAATGTAAATGTGATTTTAATTTTTTTAATTTCAGATATCTTTACAGTTCAGGTAAAGCAGAGAACGTTCAGTCAGTAGGACACGACACACTTACAGGAATGTACAGCAAAATAACTGGAATGTAAGCTTCACATAAACAGAGGTAAATGGGCTGTAAATCTAAATGACACCAGTGTACTCCTGTGAAGAATCTACGCTGGCACAGGAGGTGTTCTTGATTTATAGCTTCTCAGCATCGGTGGTCTCTGGCGGACGGAGGATTTAAACCTGGGACCTTTCACCTGCAGAATGGACTGTTTAATGTGCAAGTCACCTTGACTTTGTTCTAACTTTGTCTGTGAGCCCGACTGTCCTCCACCACAGCACACGTCTGTCATGAAGTCTATATCTGTAACATGTTCTTCTTCTCTGCAGACAGCAAAGAAATCAGCCGCTGGACATGGAGGTGGAATATTTACCAATTGGCTGATGATGTTGGATTAAAAAGCAGTTTTGTACAAACAGAAAATCCATTGCAGCTGTGTTTACTTGGTGGATTTCATGATAATCTATGTATACAGATTTGTGTATGCTTACACAATTATTTCATGTACATAGAATACACAAAAGACTGAATGGTTGAATTAGAGTTTGATTAAATGTTAACATTGACTGGAAGTGTGATGCTTATTGTGACTTTCCGTTGTACTTAGCTGACGACTGGCAGCTGAGCTATTTCAATGCTAATTAAGCAATGACTGAATATTTGTGCTTTGAATCCAAAACCTACAAATGCATCATTTTCTCTGTCTTAGTATTTTGATGCTGTCTTAGTATTATTTCTGTATATCATAAAAAAACATTCCGGTTAATCCAAAACAAATGTCTGGGTTAAAATTTGACTGTGGCCGTGGCATGCAGCAGCAGCAGCTTCTCCGTGGTTAAGAAGCATTCAGTCAGCAGTCTCGTCCTGTGGCGAGAGGAGAATGGCAACATTCATTCATGCTAGGTGGGCCACAAATATGCACATAACAGCGCTGTACAACATTAGTGTGCACTGGGGCATCTCAAGTCGCACCACTCATCGAGCCTTGAAGCACATGGGCTGCAGCAGCACACGTCCACCTGGCGACTGAAGAGTGGAAATATGTTCTTGGTCAGATAATGGTGGTGGTGCCACGGTGAGGGAAATGGTATTTCTTGGCACACCAGCGGTTCCTGTGTGGGTAATTATCAAGCTGGATAATGTGTCATGTCACAGAGCAGTCACTGTGCCGGGTTAGTTTAGATGTGATGTGCCCGTTAAAAAGAAGGCCTTAACACTTCAGGCCTTATCCAATAAAACACTGTTGTTGAATGATGCTGAGCAGGACGTTTAGAGCACGACGTGCCAAAGGTAACACTTGAGGAGATTCTGTTGAATCAGGAGGAACAAGATCCTCGTGGAACATCTCAAAACTGTGTTAGAAAAAACATGAAACATGACCCTGAAGCAGTGGGGTCATGTCTGTGATTGTGTGATAGTATAACTTAGCGTTATTGTTCATGAATTCATTTTTCATGCTCATATAGTAGATTCTGTAGCATATTGTAATTGTTTTAGGTTTCTTGTTTATACTGTGGATCTGGTTATTATTATTATTAATTTCACTTTATTCAACTAACATATCTTTTTAACTTTCAATGATTGTTCTATTATAGATTACTTTGGTATGTGTCTGAGTCCCTTATCTGAATGTTTGATTCATTTTTAACATCCAATATTTTGTCACATGTAAATTGCTTTACATGTTAAATGTTTGAGGGCTGCTGTGTGAATAAAGATGATGGATTGACTGGGATCAAGCTTATTTTTAATGATTTGACAGTAAATAATGGGGGATCAACAAGTGTTATATACTTCATGTAAAAATAATAAAATATAAACTTTCAAGGGGAAAAAACTCTCCACATTAAAATGACTGGTATCTGATTATATTTGACAGAATGATCATTACATTGTTGATGTGAGGCATCGGTCTACAGGCAGATGATGATTGAAAACAGGAGGAGGAAGGAAAAACAAATCTCTTAGTGGCACACGACCATTTTCAGGTTTTGGGATCTTCCTCTGATCTCTGCTGTGAAATGTGTTGAGCCTTATTTCTAAATGAAAGCATCTGGGAGGTTTACAGGGGAAATGTCCCTGATAGGAAACTCACTGACATATGAAACATGACAATGACGCCCTGCTGTTTTATGTGTAAGATGTAACAAGCCAAAAAAACGGTTGTGAATCATTAGTTTTCTGCAGTGTAATTTATTTATCACAAATATCATGTGTTTTTTTATGAAAAACATCTGTAGCAAAAGTTATTTCACCATTAAATGTAATGAAGAGTTGCTAAGTAGTAAATAAAATGGAAAAATACACAAGTAAAGAATCCAAAAATTTAATTACATAGCAACTTTCCATCATTGATCTCAGTGAAATCGATTGCAAACATGAAAATTCACAAACACATATTGATTTACTTCCTCAGTTTGAGTCAATATCAGATGAATTTAGTGGCTTTTATTTGGTTTGGAGTTGAGAGGCAGCTGCTGATTAGCCAATTAATCTCCATGGCAACAGCCACTGAGACTCATGGGTATTGTAGTGTTTGCATCCACTCGCCAAAAAGCTCGATTTCTCCACGACCAAGTTAAAATAGTTAAAAAGTAGACAAACATAGAGCGTTGCTGAAACACTCAAGAGAATCGCTGGAAGAAAACGTTCATGCGTGAATTTGACGCATGCGCAGCAGCAGCTCCACGCACACCTGACCAACATATCAAACGCACCCTCGTCCACTGAGGCGGGTTATTCAAACTGTCACCGCCCGGCCCGGTGCTTCGCCCCTCAAACTCAGCTTCTGCTTCAGCTGACAGGAAACACAGCCGCTAACATGTTGAAGCTAGTTCACCTGCAGACCGGAAGTTTGTGGAGTTGGCCGCTGTCTCCGCGTGTGTTTGAGTTTTTCGGGACCTTCTCCATCTGTGGAGCAGCGAGGAGGACAAGTCCTCACCTCAAGCTAAGTGGCTGCTAATGTTTGCTAACGCTCGTGAGGGGTTGTGTGTTTGTTTGTTGTGTATTTACAGTGTTGTTGTTGTTTGTTTGGGCTGGACTTCCGTGTTGTGCTGTTGTGAACCACGTGTGCACAGGTGGTTGTTGTTGTTGTTCTGCTTCTCTGGGAGTAAACAGAAATGTTTGTGTGTCAGACAAATCATTACTTCCCTCATATTTTAGTCAACACACTTTAGGTGTAACCTAACCTGCATATTTCTCCTCCTCACAATTAATCTGCTGAACTCCAGCTCTGGATCTTCTGTATTTTATTGTTCAGCCTGAAGCTTCAAAATTGTTGCTTGTTTCAGTAAATCAATCAAATGTCATTTGTGTAGCTCATATTCACAAATCACAATTTGTCTCGCAGAGCTTAACAAGGTGTGACAGGGAAAACTACCGAATAAACATGTAGAAATCTCAGAGAGAAACGCGTGATGATCCGTCTCACAGGAAGTGCAATAGACGCCTCCTTTAACTGAACACATCGACGAAATAACAGAATATTTACAGCGTTGATTTAGAAGAAACAGCAGAAACAAACACAAGAACATGTCTGAGAGATGAAGGGAGCAGCAGTGACGCATGACTCGAGGAGTTATTGTGAGTAATGGTAGAATATGTGAGGAGGCATATTGTATGTCAAGCTGTTTTTTATTTATCTACTGCATTTTGTCCAAAGGGGACCGTTTCTGTGTGATTGCAGAAACATGTGTAAGGTAAAGTTGTGTCTCAGCCTGCTCCTGTTTTACATCAGGTTGTTTCTCTGTGGCAGAAACACACATGCACACTGTAATAACATTAATGGTGTTTATGTTCCATTTAAATGTCCCAGTGAAATATGCATCGTGCCAGCTTAATCTGTTATTAGGAACATGTGCTTTCCTCGCTCGACATATTAAACAGTCGATCTTGAAAATGGTCTGTTAGAGGCGGTGGCTTCTATATATCAGCACTGCAGTGGATGCTCGCTGGTCTTATTTCCCCACGTGTGAGAGCTGACTGAAATGGGCCAACGCTTGTTTTATCTGGTGTCGTACATGTGACTATACTTGCTTCAGCATATTTATGCACACATGGCAGAGCGGACATGATTGATCAATCATTCAATCTGTAGTTAACTGGCAAAAAAATGTATTTCCCAGTTGACT